CAGGGAGTAAAACTTTGTCATGCAAAGATAGAATTCTAAGTCTTGCACACATGATCATAGTACTTGGTGTATTAAAGAAAATATAACAATGAACATACACAAAATTATTAGTGATAATTAGTGGATCCATAAAACAAACTCTGACTTGCCTTTCTGCAAGAACATCTGGTGAGATTGAACCATTTCGATGATTCAAGTCGACTAGATCACCCGTCATAGAGTTGGCGTCTGACGTATCCACTAGATTTCCATCCACCACATTGTCACTGTCGCTATGATGGACTGTATCTTCTGGCGGAAGGATAACAACGGGCGTCACATAGCTTCGCAGATCTGACTGCACAAGGAAATTAGGTGGTGTCTGAAAACAAACAGAAGGTAGAAAAGGAATAATAATTTTACATTGTGGTCTTTGGGTAATAATTTTAGAGACTGTATAAATACGAGGTTTACATAATGTTTCTACTAAAATTCTTAAACAAGGAGATATATATACACACACACACAATTCCAACCACATTAATCCTCTTGCACACCCCTCAATTTCCTATAGTCAAAAGATTAATTCTGAATTTTTAAAAGAAGCACGCCATGACAATCACAGGATATGAAAGTGTAGATTTAATTTATCTGGCCTAGGGTATGATCCAGTGGTAGAATTCTGGTAACATAATAATAAAACTCCAGGTTCCATACAAGTAACTTATCGATCAAGTGACTAGCTACTGGCTTCTCAAGAAAACTACTACTTGGTGTTACATTACAACCCTCTTCATCAAATACCAAGTCTGATGAAGAACTGTTTGGAGAAGGAAAGTAGATCTAGGAAAATAAAAACTTAAGCATTTTAAAATACATACCTCAGGCAGTAGAGGAATCTGGATAAGATTGCGGAAGTACTGCATAGTGTTTGCATTTAGGTAAAACTGTCGCAAACCTTGAAATTGCTTCAGAAACCTTTCTCTGTGACCTGCTAGTGTATCAGGAGGAAGACCTACAATGATTTAAATGTCATTAATATCTAAAGATTTAGGTTCTCACAGTTTGTAAATAAAATACATATCCTATTTTAGGCTTACTTCTGCTCTGTAAGCTACAGTATGTTCACAACATTTAAGCAGAAATATAAAATACATAAATTTACCTGCAAAGCACCCATTATCGTGGGTTTAACACAATGTTATCCAAAACAAAATTACTGGCACTTAACGTTCCTCTATGTGTAGTCCCTATAAGGACCTTTTATTAACTTTTATTGAAATGGGATTAGGAGACTTAAATCCCCATGCTACAGAGCTACAAGCCATTCTTTAACTGCAAGGTTTACCAGTCACAAAAATAAGTGTGACATCATGCAAGAAGGGTCATTCCTTAAAAATGGTGGAAAATCTGAAGAAAAAAAATCATTCTCTTTGATCCAAACAATCTCCCCAACAACCTCCTTAAGTATCAAACTAAAGCTATAAATTAGCCTGTACTGGTGACTAAATCCTCATATGACTCACTTGTACAATGAATATGGATTCAATACGTTCCGCTAACGCTATAAATTACCCTGTACAGATGACTAAATCCTCATACGACTCACTTCTACAATGAATATGGATTCAATACGTTCCTCCAAAATGTTGGTTGACGACCTACAAGACCACACAGCATCACAACCCAGAGGACCACAATCAACATTTTAACTGCCATGAAAACCTCATACCACCATTACGTTCCTTTGTGTATTAAAGTGTTTGTTGTCGCTTGTGTGTAACAAAACACTGCATGCACATAAGATGAAAAAGAACGGATTTTCCGAACAGTCTACACAACTCTTACTTGCATGCAATTTGAAGAGAATCTTGACACAGTAATCGTACAACTGCGATGAGTCTTGAATGCAGGGTATGAGCGGCGCAAGGCGACACTGACCGGAGCTCATCATCGAGTTTGAACGAGACATGTTGAGCGAGCCAAAAACTATAAGATAAAGCCGATACATCAAAAATACATACCAATGGATGATCAGGAATTAGAATAAAATTCAAAGCATTAAACACTACATCCATCTACTTTTCAAGGAATGCAAATTAATTCTTCCCCTTCTTTTTGCTTGCATTAAAAACAAAAATCAGATTCTGCTGTTTTATTCACATCACAATTGCCCGTAATCTTATATTGTCCTAATAAACACACAAACAATAATCAAAACAGTGCACACACACACAACTTGTTGGCCATGAAGATTAATATTTTTAGCATTATTGCAAGAAACTACTCCTAGTAACTTACAGCTCTTGTGCTTCTTAGCACCAAAATGAGGCAAATTCTATTATGAAACAATCACAGCTAGGAATGAGCAATGTTTCTGTAATTTTTTGTCAGTCACTAAAGGCAAACTTTCAACAGCCTCCATCACCCACTCTTTTTGCCATTCCCTCATCTATATGCACCCCAAGTGTCTCAATTAACATCACAGCAGTTGGCTCCTAGCATCGTTAACAACCTAACCTAACAAATTACCATTTCACTATTACAGGGTACACAAACACATAGAATCAACAGGAAACACTTACTTGCTGACTGAAGATTTAAAATTTCATCCATGTAATCAAACATTTCTACAGACATTTGAAAACTGAAAAAGAAGAATAAGAATGTTTATTTCCTGTTATTCACATTGAGATGAACAACACACAATGAAGTCAATTATACTTGTCTAACCACTGCTATATTGTTACCTAAGCTCACTCACAATGTCACGTCATCAACATGCAAGCTGAATATTTAACTCTTTTTCAGCCAGTAAATTTACTGAACCACTGATGAAGGTTCCACTCAGCCTGCCTCGATCTGAACTGAACGATGCATTCTGTTAAAAGTGAGGCAAACGTAAGCAGAATATTTAATTATAAAATAAATCAAGCCAAATATATGGTTTTTAGTTTACTGCTTTCTGCTTATCTTGGGCTTAAGCGGCCCATCCACGTACGAGTCTGACTCGTGAGCCGGGCTCGGATATATTTCACCACACATGCATAGCAGACTCGGCTCGTGACACCCCACCCACAAACGAGTTTGGCTCACTGGAACCCGAGCCGAGCCAGACTCGTACGTGGATGGACCGCTTTAGACTCAGTTTTTATAAAACAGCCTGGAAAATATAACAGTGAATTGGCAGAAAGGGGGGCAAATGTGATCATCACTGTTTACAAAACATGTACAGATAAAACACCAACAGGGCTAAGCTCCACAAATAAAGGATGGAATTCTATATTTTACACACCTTTTTATTACACATAAAAAACGATAAATTCAAAAGAAACTTTCAAAGAAGTTATTGGCAGTGTGATTGCCCTGTTCTAACAGACAGTCTGACATGAACGAGGTCAAAGATCAGGTATAATACCTTTGAAGGCTACACGTCGGGTGCTGCTCAGAAATTCATAATCACTATTAAATCATACTTACTAGTTATTGATATCATTCTCGCCAATGCTCTCAAGTTCCTCTTTTGTGACTTGAAGGTTGCCCGGAAAACGAGGGTTGCGGCGATGGAAGTCCAACTTTGTTATGAGAAGAACAGTATAGCACTGTATAAGTTTCCCGTACCCTTCTCGTAAATGGCACTGCGATCAGACAAATTTGTTTTCCAAGAAAGTAATAGCAAGAACTTCTTGCAGTTATTCTGCTAGACCCTTACACAAATTCATGACTTCATGTCAATTACTTACCCACAACTTTCCCAAATCTTCTATTGATCCTCGATGTCGCTGGGAGTGGGGAAGAACTTGTGGATGTCCCTCTCGAAGAACTTTATGTAGGACATGACAAAATTTCCATGCCACAATTCGATTGTCTTGTAAAGGGAGTCGCAGAGCACACACCCAAAATGTCTGTGCTCCCTTCTCGTGAAACGTTCCGATGATCGTGCCTGGGCCTCAGTTAAGAATTTGTATAATTCAATTATACTAAGTGAACAATTTAATTGTGAATGCTCAAAATTCTTTTCTGCAGGACAGCAAGGCACACTGACATTAACAATTTCATTTACTTTCAAACATGCTTAAGGAGAACAATAACATTTGAACGCCTGTGTAACTCTGAATAATGCACACAAAGCAAACATAGCTGTGACCAATTACTGCACTGGTGTTTTACCCGACTGATTTAATGGATCACATGGAAATAAAAAACAAACATTTTGAATTCCAATTTTCCATTACAAAATTTGTGAATTCATGCAACTTACTGACAAGTCTTACATATTTTATGGCAATGATTCACATATATTTATATGAGAATTGGCTAACTTAAAATATTTTAAAGTTCCTAAAACATACTTTTACTTGCATAAGGATACTTCTTACATGCTTCTCTTTGACTGGAGTTTCAATCTGATTGATGGCTTTTCCAATACTGATTGCCTGTAGAAGAATAAAAATGCAATAAATGATTTACGAAATTCCAAGCAAATATCCAACGTGATCTGAGAACAAAAAGATAGTTACTGCATGACAGATGTATCCAACCCCAGCTGACCACTAGTCCAGCAAAGCAGATCATCCAAACACATACACCTTATGCATAAATTACCTCGATCACCTAATTGAATCATCATTCACCAACAGTATCAAGCATGACCACGGTTGGGGCCAAATTAATATGTTAAAGGTGGAGTGAGGGGGTGGTTGGAGTCCTTTTTTATTCATTTCCATTATTTCTTTCTTTCTTTGCTGGAAGCTGAGTCTGCATACCGACAGGCTACAATCTAGAAACCCAGGGTTTGAATGCAAACCGAGAAATGGATGTTTTCTTGGTCACCAAATATGTACTAACTTGTCTTTACTATGGGCTCTTTCCTAGGGGTTAAAATGGATGGAGCATAAATTGAAAATCACATCTGTCCAGAAATTCTCAAGTAGAAGACACGAATAGCCATTTCTGCTTCGTGCAACGAACTAAGAATGACTCCAAAAGTAAATTTTTGTGCTGAAAATATGTAAAATGAAAAGAGCATATAAAGAGTATCTGTGGAGAGGTTTCTAAATAAGGAGAACGAAATGTATGTAACTTTTATCACTCAGGTAAATGAAAATTATTATTCTTTTATCAGAGTCTGTATTCCGCACAATCTGCCTTTTATGACTGTTAAGAAATTAATTCACGATTATGCACTCAATCTTCAAGATGACAAACCTGTACAGTTCTGTACTTCACTTCTGCAGCAGCGTGCAAGATACGACGAAACATCGTGCGTGATTCATAAGACGCCAGTCGTTTGTTTCGTCAGCAACCCCACTCGATGTGGTTTCACAACTTAACAATTGTGCATTCAGACCAGTCTTCGATTCATTAACTCTGTGGGTAGTCCTTGAGAAGCTGATAACTGCTCGGCTAATCAAAAGAAATCCCGCCTTATAAAGAACCAGATGATTCATTGCGGTGTTTACGTGAGCCCGCCACTGCACCCAAACGAAGCAAGTCATACCTCGCTTCTAAAGATACATTTTAATATTATCCTTATGTTTACTCCTCGGTATGGAAAGTGGTCTCTTCACATCAAGTTCTCCAACTCAAATTTTGTATGCACGTTTCCTCCTCATGCGTGCTACACGTTCCACTCTAAAACCTCGTAGTCTAATCGCTCTTTTTATTTAGTATATTCTCAAGAACTCCCAACCTTTGGCATTAGCGGCAAAGTTTGAACAAGTGACGGAGGAAAATATGGGCGTGGCATCTAAGTACACATGGGAGCGACAGAAATGTTTTTAACATTACGGACGCACAAGAGCCCCACCCGACTCACGACGACCTCTCTCCGCATTCTTTTTTCTTGCGAGATGGACCCTAAAACGTCCGAAGCTCAAATTTACGACGGCGTACGAATCTGACGACAGGTCCATATGAACAGGATCCTTCCATCCTTTTCTCGGACTGGGACCTGTTCATATACGTTCTTGGCAGATGATCCAGAAGTGGTTTGCCATTCCCTTCTTCTGTGTGTGAATGGAGTAATTGTGGGGATGCCACGGAGGAAAACTCCGTGTTGCCGAGACCACGGCCTTGCCCAACACAAGTTATAAATGCGGGCACCGCCGGGAATCGAACCCGAGACCCCAGGATAACAAGGATAGCGTTCTGACCGCTAGACCACCGTGGC